AGCAGGAAGAACTAATGCACTACTCAAATCTGCAGTTAGAGGAATGGGGAGATGTCTTAGAAAAGGTGAGGAAAAAAAGATGCAAACACAAACAATACATGAAAGAGACCGGACTGGGTTTAAAAAGCCTAAATGTGAAAGTAGCAATAGTGCTCTGTCACATGATACTCAAGAAAAAACAAGGTTGTAGTCCTCTATTTCTTATTCCCATGCTGAAAGATGATGAAAAGGTCTCTGAGTGCAGAGAACATCTATAGTACAAGAAGGCTCTAAAATACTCAGCTTACACATTAGAATGTATGAATGTGTATATTAAATGCACTCAGACATAATTAATGACTTAAACTGGTATCTCATCTGATAACTATGTTAGTATATGCAGTCTTTTTGTAGCCAGGTCAATCTCTCAGATTTTATTGTATTCAACAACATGTGCCAGTAACAGCATCTCTTAGGGTTTTTTGTTTGTTTTGGGACATAAAACCAAGAGGACCCAAGCAAAGCAACAAAATTTGCTTGAACTTTTAATAACAAAAACACAGTAATTTTAAATAACAAAGCCTGAAGCCTGTGAAAACAAGAATACTAAGAAAACAATCAAACCTAATAGCTGTTCTCTAAAATAATCTAGTTTGGTCACTATCATCTTCCAGCAGATATTATTAATAGCAAAGTTTTTGTTTAGGAGGGAGAGGAGGTGATAAAAAAATGTAATCTCCCAAGACAAATCACTCTGCTGTTAAATAATATATTAATAAAGCTCCACAGTTAAAAAAAAAAACAAAACACAACTTTTTCACATGAAGAATCTCAAAACACTGAAAATATTGTTTTGTCCACAAACCAGAAAAAGCGTTGTATTTACCTTAACATGCCACTCAGGATGAGAATTCATGTAATCAAACAGCTTCTGATAATTCTGGTACTGCTGATCCCATTCAGAGCTCTCAGCATAGCGGAAATCATCCCCTAGTGGAGCCAACAGAACTTTAGTACGGAAAAGCTTTGACTTCTTTCTGTATTGGTCTAAAATTATCCACGCCCTTGAGGAGGAGAAAAAAAAAAAAAGCAATTTAGAAAACAGAAGAATCAAGGTCAGCATTTGACAAAACAATCCTTAGGTATCAAGTTGTGCATTAGGGTGACCCTAAACAAGACATACAAAACTCTACTATTTCATTTTGTAACAAAAAGCTGAATGCACTTTCCTCCACTGGGATACCACATTTAACCTACTATTGTTGCAGACACTATGCTAATTAAATCCTCCAATAAGCTTATCAAGCTCCATCTGAAACAGTAAGTCAATCTGCATCATTTTGTTCCTGTGCCATAACTAACCTTCAGTTTAAATAATGTTTACCTGCTTTATATTTAGATAACAATCCTAATCCTCTCCAGCTCTTATTTACAATAATAAGCAAGCTCTTCTCATCCCTTCTGGTAATTCCCTTGGGTACTTCGCTTCATGTCCTTGACAGAAAAACTGTCCATAAATTAATCTTTGAGGAACTCCAGCCTTGAAGAAAGAAAAAAGAATCTGGAGGAAGTTCACTACTAACGATCACTGTTCTCCCTTCAGCCAGCTTCTTACCTGTCTTAGAGCCAGCCCTCTTCAGCTTTAAGTATATGTCCTGAAAAATTAAACCCACAGCTTTTCTGCTTTTGGCCTATAAAATAAAAAAAAAAAACCCCAGACAAACCCCACACACATGCACACACAAAAAAAAGCCAGTAAAAATATCTTTTGGCACCTACTAACTCTTTGACAGGTGAAATATCAGTTCTGTCACTAAGCAGCAATGTAGTAAAAGCTACAAGTCTGAAGTCTGGTTTACTGAAAAGGTCCATTCCTCCCCTCATCCCTCTCAAAATTTTCAGATGCTGATCTTCTCTAATTAAAGTTACAGAAATAATTTTAGTAGGGGTATAAAGCACAGTAACTTATTTAATAAAACAGGAATACAAATGACAAAGTTTTAAAGAGAAAATAGCAGCAAAATCCAGATTCCAGTGAGCTTTTTTTTTCTGTAAGTCCTTTTAATAGATAGTCTACTAAAATCTACTTTCAACTCATACTCTTGAAATTTTGTTATATAAACATTTACATGAGAATTGAATCAAGTCCAATATATTTGAAACCCTTATTTCTTTGATTAGCAAGGCAGTGTTGATTTGTTTCTCATATTAAAAAAGTATTGAGTAAAGACAAGGTCTGACTGTATTCTGGAGGGAGAAAGCAATGTTGAAAACAACATCTTTAGTTAAGGATCTACATAGTTCTGCTGAGACTAGGACAGATCTAACTAGTGGCTTCCTCCCCACCCCCATCATTTGATTTATAGTTCAAATTACCAACTATTTACATTTGAATCCATATTTTCCATGACCTTCAACAGGTTGCCGATTTAAACATAAAGACTTCCTCTCCACACAACTAACAGAACAATTGGCACAACACAAAACCTTGTAATGCTATATTCTAAGAAGCCAGCCTAACTCAAATTTTCCACATGCAGCCTACAGTTGGAAACATATTTTATTTTAGAGCCTCTTGAAAAATACAGGACTTCAGGAAGAGTTACAGTTAACATGATATTTGACTCTGAAAGTCCTCCTCTAGTTTCTTTCCAAATCTACTGCAAAAGTCATCAGTGTTGCTATTCTCCCTTTCTTCAAAGTATTTGTAAATGTAGGATTATTAGATGTTTTAAGGGGGCAGTAAGATCTTCCTCCATTGCAAGCCAGTCTCAATTGCAAACCAACAAAAAAAAAAAAATTAGATGACTTGTCAGGTGTAGCCTCTTAAGTTTCTCTCAGATAACTTCCTAAATACCTGTTTCATTATATATTTCTCAATATTCTAAGCAACCCTAACTGCACTCGGTTGGCAACACTGAAGTGCACCGACACTGTCAGTAACAACATCAAGAATATTTTTCACCTTTCTTTGGGAAGCTTTCAGATTGTCACTGAATGCTAAAGACATTCCACAAATGAAGAAAACCCCTTCGTATCACAAGTGTGTTCTGTTAACACAAAAATTCCAAGTATTTGGCTAAAATATCAAAACAATTAATGTGGCTAGTTTTGACCCTTCCTATGGCAAAGGAAGATGAATAATACCTACCTAGAGTCTGTAGGAAACACAAGAAATTTTGCAACAGCTATAGCAAGTCCTATGTGACAGTGGTCATTGCTCCGCAGCCCTACTACTTCAGCCCATACAGCACATGAAGCATTAGGGACTCACTCTTTGCTCAACTATCTCAACTAGAAAACAAAACCGTTTGGTGGATTGGCAATTTTCTATTCAGGTAAATTTGTGGACAGGATGGCTATGCAGACAGTACTGCCCAAGAGAGTGATCCCAGATTCTGGAAGTTGGCAATCATAAAAATTAACCACCAATGCCACATCAGCAATATAATTCTGAACACCAGCTGCATGTGGTACAATGTGACCAACTATAAAGACAAAAATTACGAAGGATAAAATTGGGCTTTTGAACAGTAAGGGGTGATGCGGAAAGTCAGTTTTCTACTCCTCCTCTGAAGTGCAGAGCTTGCAGCACAGATCTTTCCTATTACCATGCATGGGAGAGATATAAAACAAAAACAAAATGCCTCCTCTAACAAAACAACTCATTCCCATTCAAGGAAAAAAAACAGCAGAGAGTTGTTTTTTCTTGCTAGTGTGAAAAGCTTGATCTTCATCATTCAAACATCTGGATAAAGATGCAGCTGCAAAACAGGGCAAGTGCAACAGCAATCTTTATAACCTAAGCTGTTATGAAGTCTAATTAAACTAGTACAGGCTTTCAATTAGGCTGCTGTTTCATTCCTTCCTGCCAAATCACAACTAAAGTGGCAAGGCAACAATGAATCCAACAGTCACTGGTCTTAAGTCTTCACTTCAGTACATCTTCAGCATATACGTATGGCCATAACGGCATTTAAATCAAAAGCAGACCCAGCTGAGTATTCAAGATCTGTGTTTTATCAATTTTGTTGCAGCTTTGGCATTGAAGAAAGGTCAGTGATCTAAACCTCTAAATTAAGCAAGGGTATATCAAATACTTTTTTGAGATCCAAATAGTGTAGATCTGCATTTTTCCAGTCTTAAAAAACAAAGCAATCAGAGATGAGAGACAGGTTAATTAGTGTGCTGCAAACCTTTAACCTTGGAAAGCTTATGATGAAAAGATAGAGTTTCCAATTATTTCTGGATTTCATATGTCCTTGTCACAACAACTGTGAAACTTGTGCTGTTACACAGGTTAGATCAGAGAAGTTTTTAGTTGCTTACAATACTCCAACTTTTTCATAAAATTAGTAGCATTTTCAGCAGTCTCCAGCAAAACACTTCGTCCTATGTTTTAGTGGATTTATCTGAAACTACACTCTCGGAGTATGTTTCCTGTGTTCCTTCCAGTGTTCCAAATGTAAATAATCCAGGCTCCCAACTCAAAGACTATGTGTTAGTTTTACTTTTCCCTTAGGTATTATCTACCACCCTGCTGTTTCAGCTCCCTGTTAGACACGGAAACTGTTTTTATCTACCAAAAGCTGATGCAAAAGATTACATTTCGGAGACCATATTGAGATGATTATCTCCTAAACTCGATTATACATTCACTACATACCTGTCCCGTTTCTTTTATTCTTCAATTTCATTTGACATGATGAAAGAATCATTTCTATTACAGGGTCTAACTTAGATTGTTAGGCAAAGGTTCCATCTTGGAAGTACAGGGATAAATTAAGATACAATTAAAAACCAAAAACCTTAAAAAGCATTCCAAGCAGGCTCCCTACATTATACTTGTAGCCTGTTGTAGTATGCTCCAGGTATTTGTTAAACAAGCTGTTACTGTTTTGTAAATATTTGTCTCAGCTAATTGGGATACATATTCAAGATTTTTCTTTTTACAACTTAAAGACACACGAGTCTTCCCTGACATCTGACAGGCACTGGGTGTGTCATAATGATTATTCTATTAACTCTAATGTTCTCCTGTCACCTTCAGCCTTCATTTTTCTACTTTTAAGGAAAATTGCTTTTTCCTATCATCACTTCAATGTCTACCTTAAAATGACAATTGTGATGTATTCTGTTTTGTTTTGGTTTTCTTTGATAAAATTTTGTAATTGGATTTTACCACCTAAGTGAAATTTTCAAGATGCTTGGCAAAATTCATACTCAGAAAAAGGTCATGCAGACTTGACATGTAGACAACCAGTGCATCACCATCACATCACTTCACCACTTCAGCATCAAGACCAGAACCAGAAACTCACCCTGCTATCCTCAATACATTTATTATACTCAGCAATTTGTAACAATTGTAAACACCTACCTAAATTTCTAACTCTTGAACTTGCGGATGGTTAGAAGGCCTGAAGATAGTAACAGGAGTGTAGAATAAAATCTTTTCTAGACCTTTAGTGGTTCTATCTTCTCTTTATTTTTTTTTTCTCTCTCTTCCCAAAATTGAAAAACAGATTTGTAAAACTGTAGGACTTGATTCCTACCTATGGCAAAACAAGTCAGTGTTTCTATTTAAAAAAATCATTTTTGTCTCTTGAGACATGTAATACAGAGGACTCAGGTTCATTTAAGTGTTCACTTCAGGAAACCTATGCCACAGTTTGCCAAGTTTTGCAAGGATATACCATGGAAAAATATCTCGACATTTGCCATTACAGCATACTACCCCACGTTCTCACTGAGGTCTTCCACTGGAAGGAGACCAATCACCGTCTATTTATAAAATTTTAAAAAAACTACAGTAAACCAGTAACATGACTATAACCAGATAACTATGTTCTGCCTAGCATACAGAGACAGTAATAAATAGACTCAGGTATCATGAATGGAAAAGAAAAAATCTAATGCATCTTCTTCAGGGAGATGGTTTAGTGGGCATGGTGGTGTTGGGCTGACGGTTGGACTTGATGATCTTAAAGGTCTTTTCCAACCTTAACGATTCTACGATTCTTTAATTACAGCCTATCTTCAAATTTCACTGTCCGTTATGTTCTGAACTTATGAGCAAACACTATACTAAGAAATAGGTATTATTTTCCTATGACAAGTTTATTTTAAGAACTATATAAATTCACCAAGCTATGCTAGATATCACCTTTAAGCTTTTTGTTTGCTTATTTTTTAATTATTCCCTTGCAGAATATATAAAAACTGTACCTGTGTTGAACATTTCCAGCATGAATGGCTTCTGGTGGAACTCTCCATGGACAGCTTACTCTTCCTCCAGGAAGACGTTTGAAATCAAACTGGCAGCAGATTTTTGGATCTGGACCGCAAGTATGAGGAACATCATAGCTATAGAAAGGCATCATATGACAAAGGATATCTGTACTGGATCCCAAATCTGCAATTAAAAGCATAGCGCACATTGTTAAAATAAACCCTCCCAGATTTGCCAAAACTAAATCAATTCCATGTTCTTAATCCAAGAATTGTATTAAAAACATCAGTTCAAGACAATTCCTTGCTTTGAATACCCATGCTTGAGGTCTACCTTTGCATGTACCTTACATACAAAGAGGCTAAAAACAGAGATACAACAAAGATTGGAATGTTCCAATCAAACACCAGCTGATTGGGAAAGACAGGAACAAAATGTTTGTTGCTTGGGTTTTTTTACCCAGATAAATCTCATTATTTCCAGAATTTTAGAAGCAAACAAGACACATCTTTTACACTTGGACTTAATCAAAACCATCCCAAACACCACCAACCCGCAAACAAACAAACAAACAAAACCCGAAAAAATGAAAACAACCACCCTGCTGTGATCACCCCATTAGCACAACACCTGAATTTGTTGGCTTTAGCAATATCTTAATTTCCTTAACACACATCTTCAATTCATTAACAGTAAGATTCTACGTACTTGTAGATAGATTCTGTGTGCTTGTACATAGAATTACACAGAATTCTATGCACTTCTGAGACCATCTTTGCAATCCTAAGTTTTACATCTAGTCAGTCCATTCACTAAAGTTTAACCCACCAGGAGCAGGGCTCTACATACATTTTGTCAAGTCTCAATAAAAGGTTTTTCAAAACTTAACTTTAAAGAAAACTTTAAATTTACTCATCTGGTAAAACCTATAAATGCTAATTACCTATTTCCAGCCCGAAGTACTTAAACTAATTTTATGCTGGAAGAAGGATGAATGCTGCAGATGTGCCACAGTACCTGGCTCCTAAGTATGTCAACAATATACATGAAAATACTCTTCAAAACCTTAACAGCATAAGTCTCCATAGTTCCAATCCAGTTCTTTTGCTTAAAAACTCCTATTTTACTACCACTTACTTATTACTAAAAAGGTAATATTCCATAAATATATGCATTTACTTTTCAACTATTGGAGTTCTCTTTATCTCAGTTACCATGTCTATATAGTATGACAGATGAATGTGCAAAGATCTTTGTTATGTTATCTTGTGCTGGTTTTGGCTAGGATGGAGTTAATTTTCTTCACAGAAGCTAGTATGGGGCTATGTTTTAGATTTGTACTGAAAACACGTGTTGATAATTCAAGGATGTTTCTGTTATTGCTGAGCAGTGCTTAAACACAGTCAAGGTCTTTTCTGCTTCTCACCCCACGCCACCAGCGAGTAGGCTGGGAGTGCACAGAAGCTGGGAGGGTCAGGTTCAGCACAGAAGCTGTCAGCCAGGAGAGCTGACCCTAACTGACTGAAGGGGTATTCCACACCATATGATGTCTTGTCCAGCATATAAAGCTGGGAGAAGAAGGCAGAAAGGGTGACATTGGGAGTTAATGGTGTTTGTTTTCACAGGTAGCCATTACATCTGATGGAGCCCTGCTTCCCTGGAGATAGCTGAACACCTGCCCACCAATAGGAAGTAGCAAATAATTCCTTGTTTTACTTTGCTTGCATGCACAGCTTTTGCTTTGCTTATTAAACTGTCTTCATCTCAACCCACAAGTTTTCTCACTTTTACCCTTCTGATTCTCCCTCCCATCCTACCAGGGGGGAGTGAGCGAGTGGCTGTGTGGTGCTTAGTTGCCGGCTGGGGTTAAACCACTGCAGATCTGTTTTGAAAGCCTTCTTTTGAAGGCTAAACACCAGACCATATCATACCTGTGATTTACATATGCAATTATTTAGAAAAAGGCCTGTCAATTAAATATACTGTACACTGAGTGGCATATAGCAGTAGTCAAAGAAAAACCTCTAAACTGTCATTATCTGACAACTTCTTTCACAGTGGTATGTCTTTCTCAAGTCAAGTTTACTTCTGCAGCAGATTTCTTTCTGAATAGCCTCCTTTCTACAATTTCTGATTGAGAACAGAGGAACCAAAAAGCTTCAAAATCACCACGATCTTTCAATATTACGTACTAAATAGGTATGTTTGAACCTGTATTGATAAAGCAGTGATGATTAGCGTATTTGAAAAAGCAGAAGACCAAAACCTCAACTACACACATTCATCATACAGCCTATTGGAATGCTGGTACAGTACACAGCAAAACAAAATAGTCATATAGAAAACTACATTCATTTACAGATACATCAGTCTGCTAAGGTATAAACACTCCATTACCTAAGAAGACTTTCATACTCTGTGTTGTATAAATAATAACAAAAAAAAAATTATATTTATTCTAAGAATAAAGTTTTAGATGAGAATTTCATTGCAAATTAAAATAGTGAAATGTTTTTAATCTATTTTTCTGACTAAAGATAACCTACAAATTTCAAGTCCACAGAAAGCTACTGTAACTAATGGCACTAATTTGTCACACACCAGCTGAGGAAAACTGGTTGCTTGAAAGTTTTTTCATTAGTAAGAACATAAACAAGTCAGATTTCTCCATCTTCAAATACTCACTGTTGGCCTTTTTTTTTTTTTTCCTCTCCAAGAGAAATGTTCCTTCTCCTCCACTATATTTCCACATAGTAGGAGTAGGAGGAAGAAAACAAAGAAGTGAGAAAAGGAAAAAGAACATACCACCCCATTTACTTGCTTTATATGTATTTGTAAGGAATGTGGTAGAAGGGAAACAAGAGAAAGTAAAAGCACAAATGAAAGTCAAGAAACAGGAAAACCAGAGGAACAATGGCAATAACACAGTTTTTATTTTTAATCCCTTTTCTAACACCCAGGTACTCACGTTCCCTTTCTTATTAAAAAAAAAGTTAAAATCTCCAAAACTTAACCTAGATTAAAGACTTTAACAGAACTGCAAGTCTAAAATGTTCAAGTCTAGACAAACTTCTCTAAATAATCTGTTCTGTAAAAAGATTTCCAAAGTATTTATTCAAATTCTCTCCATATTTTATGTGTGTAAATTAACAAAATAAATTGACATAAGGGAAAAACACACACCCCAGTTCTGTCTCCAAAAAAATTCTAGTGTCTTCTGTGTTGCAAAATGTTTTTTAACCGAGTAATGAACTCTCTGTATAAGCATATTGGAAAATCCTGTTCGTTTCAGAAGGTAGGCCATTGTTGGTGAATGCCCAAAAGGATCAATTGCCCAACCAGACTTTGGTTTTACTCCTGTTGACAAAAGAAAAAGTGAAAAAGGAAAAAAATTTTACTTTTCACTGAAAGAAAGCTATAGCAATATAATTTAAACCAAGACACTAAAGATAAAATTTCCAAAATGTTAAATTAAAATATACAGCTGAGTATTAAGCCTCCTGCAGAACACACCCTGGAATTAACAAACTAGAATTAAACAGACAAACAATTGACAACAACAAAAAAAGTCAAATGTCTTAGAGACAAGGCAGTCTGTCTTATTACATAAAAAACCTGAGATTAGTACTCCACATTCTTATACTGTTTCTATTATCTCAAATATCTTTACAAGGAATCAAAACAAAATACATCTCCTTTTTCACTTTAAACAGATGTTACACCTGGGAAGGAAAGATGAAAGAAAATGAATGGATGGAAACGGAATGATGTTGTATCTTGTTGAATTGTCACTGTAATTTAAATAATGTTAACCTTTGTTGGCTTTGGAACTAACTTTTCTTTTGATTTGATTTATTTGGTTGAAAATCATTAGAATCATGTGGATTATACTGTCTTTTCACTGAACTTCCTACTAGCAAATAAAGAAGCTGCATCTAACACTTGTTTAATTGATTCTTCAAGCATGGTTCCTTAGGCACATTTTTAGTATCTTACCAAAAAACAGTAAGGAATGCATTACCCTTTTATTATGCCTTCCCCCTCCTCCCGCCATCTCTTAATTATGTCAAGCTGTATTTATAGAAATTGCAACCTACAAAAGACATAAGTGAAACAGCTTTTCAAAATAGTTTCAATTGATTGGATAAAGAAATGCTAATTTACTATTAAAATCACTGTAGAAATATTTTCTATACAAAAATGGTTATCTCTACTTATGGAACATTATGTCTACTTATAGAACTAAAAAAAAAAAATCTAAACTAAAACCACCAAAACAGTTCAACCAATGTTACTGCAGGCAGTTATTCCTCAAAGTTTCAGAAGCAAATGAGTTGGCTTTTTGTTTTTTAAATATGAACAATACTAACATTACAATGGGTTTAGGTTTAGTAACTACTACTACTACTGCTACAATAACTACTACTAAATTTCATATTCACTTTTTTGAAAGCCTTACATAAAAGAACCTAATTAATACATAGCCTGCAGAATAGATCCAAACACATGAAAGGAATATCGATTTTTAAGTACTTTTAAGATCTTTGTCATGATTTTCAAAAGACAGAAATGGCAATTGGAAACTCCATGTTATCAGACACACATGATCTACAATTCAACATGATCTAGTGTTATATTTGATTATGCTAATATACAATGCACATCTTTCACTGAAAGAGACAAACTGTTGTGACATAAAATTGTTTAAATACACTTCATCCAGGAGCTTCTATTTGCAAACAGTAATTGCAAATACTAAACTCAATCCTATAGCTTCCAGTAAGTGGTCTGATTTAATGTTTCAGAAAAGCAGAATGAACAGAGCCTTCTAAGCAGCTCAGAAATAAAAAAGCATTTTCTAACTGAATTTCTGTATTAACCAAGGTAAATTTTAGATGAAGCTACATACCAAGGTTCTTTTCTAGCCATTGATGTCCTTCTATCAGCTGGTCAATTAAAGCAAAATAATGAGGAGAGGCTTCATCAGGCATGACCCATCCTCCTGTTACTATTTCAAACTGTCCATCTTTTATTAACCTGAAAAATATGTAAATTATGTTCAGAAACTTGCATATAAAAAGACACTGTTAAAAATCAATTTCTGAATACCCAATTTGTACTTCCCAGGGACACGATGCCAAGATCTAAATTGATTGTGCTACTTACATCTCTGGACTACATTTCTTTAATCAAACAGGAAAAGAATGAACAGATCAACAGTGAAATTTTTAATGCCTCTGTGCAATGAAAACTACCAGCTCTATTGCATGTGCCATAATATTTGATTTTTTCTAAGTCAGTAAAAAAGGCTATTTCCTACACAGATTACAAAAATAAAACAGCATATGTGCTACAGTACTGAAGGCGAATTGTGTGAGATGCCTAGACATTGCACATTTCAAGTGCTACTAATATCTCCCCATCTTTGATCTGCAGCTCTCTTTATTGTTTTAGAGAGCTGACAGAGCTTCAAAGTTTATTATATATACAAGGGCTTCAGACCATCTCACTCATTAAAATGCCTTCTTGAAACAGATCACAGGATGATCCAGGTCTCTCTATTAAGATGTCAGTGAACATAATGATCATGCTTCCAGCATCAGGTGGTCCCTACAGCTAAATAATGTAGTTTTGGTACTTACATTGTACACTAGCATATAAATGTTTAATGAATTCAAGAAATACAGTAAGCTTGCCAAAACTTCATCACATTATAAATAATACCCATAAAAGTAATGAAAAACATATAGCCAAAATAATCTCCAGTGCAGCTTCTGTAAGTCTTACAGCAGTTTAACCAATATCCAATTCCCCTGAAGAAAGGACACGGTTCCCTAGTGACTATCATTTACTGTTTATTGTGTTCCAAGGGATCTTTTTAATCTCAGAAAAACAACAGCTGTGCTATAATACTCATGCATTGTACATAAATTTTTAAATAGATAGTTTTCTATGTCATCCCCAAGATTTCCAGCACTATCTAAGCTTTGCAGCTGTGAGGCTCTCATAGCCTTAACGTATACTGCAACCTGTGCATCTTGAAGGAGAGCATGAGAAGGAGGGCACCACAAAGATGAGCAAAGAACTGTTGGATTCTGTCTTAAAGCAAAGTAAAAAAAACACAAAACAAACAAACACAACCATTTTTGAAGTAAGGATCTAGTTTGGAGTTTTCAAGTTCATCCAAGCAGCATGATTTCTTGTCCGAGTGTCTAGGCAAACCTTTTACTTCTGTATTACATTTTGACATGTGACTTTAAAAAGAATTAAAACGAGTAAGGGTGTAGAGTATGTACTACTTTACCATTTAAGCAGCTGCATGTTTATAAAAAATGCATATATTTAAAAACAATAATCTCATTTCATAATTGTGTTATAACTGAAGAAACAATTACCATATATAAATAGCTAATGTGAAAGATTATTTTTATTCCATTGCTAATACTTCAAGGTGACTTCAAATAAAGTTTATAATCACAACTCCATTACAATTTGAATGACATCTTCATGGTTGTACATGGAAACTTTTTGCCAATTTTTTCAGCAACTCAGTCATTTGGCTTCACTTCTCTAAACTGAGTTTTATTTTGTAATTGGAAATAAAAAAACAAGACCAAAAAATCAGAACTTGGTTAGTTGATTATTCTAGCAACTCTGCATCGCAACAAGTGAAATCTCAAGTTTACTGTATACCAAATACAGAGTCTCAGAACATGCCGCATAGAAGATAAGCAATAGTTCAGTGTTCAAACCTTTTAACAGCATCCTTTTTTTGGCTATCTATTCCATCCCACCATTTTGAAAAGTAAGAAATCTCAGACCACATAAATTTCCTTCTCTTGTCTTCTTGCAGTTTTATAACCATATTATTTAAGATATGCTGGGTCTGATCTCTGAAGTAATCATCAAAAGTCTTCAGCCAACCTAAGAGAAAGAAAATACAAAATTTAAGTTGCTTCCAATCATCTTCAAGACCTGCTTCTTCCCACTCCCTACAAAAAAGTTAAGTCAAGTCAAGCATTTTCTTAAAAAGCCAGATTTTACATGCTGTGGACAGTTCAAAGTGCTAAACTCTCCAGGAATTTCTTTTTATAAAGATTAGATTTCCTAAACATATAAGCATACGGAATATTAGGCTTCCTACTTTGATCAACAGAATAAACAGATTTTTAAAATTATGGCTTTTTTTTTTCATTTAAGCACAAATTAAGTAGTTGAAAAGGAAGATGTACATATCTGCAAATAGATCTTTCTTAATAACTTCCACTAGCTTTCCTCATCTCACATCAAAAGGACTGTAGTATGTACTAACACGTCGTCTTCCCAGCCCAAGCCCTACTCCCAACACACACACCTGCAACAGTCCCTAATCCTTTCTTCAATGTCTTATCTTTTCTTTGAAGTCATAAAGCACCCTATCACTCTCTTCTATGTAAAACAACAGGACAAAAACCCTTACTAGCAGCATCTACACCTACAGCTTGAGGAGAAAATTAAGAGACACTAATGGCATACCACAGACCTTGTCACATTATGAGCATTTTCATTCAACTGCTTCCGAAAGAGACTCAACAGTTGAGTGTAAGGAAGTATCATATCCAACAGAATAACTACAGAAGAATGCAAGTGATGTTACAAATTGGTCCTATAGCATGCATCCATGTTTTAAGATTTTATGAAAGCTTTCACACAACACGAGAATTGTACTCCACACAAATATGATCCTAGTGATTCCATTCTGATTAACCATTTCAGTTCTGCAGAGGCACTGCTATTCTAGCACAATGCAAGTCTGCTTGTAAGAAGAAACAGAATTAGGCTGTTCTGGAATGAAATATGTTATTTAAAGGCAGTTACATAAATGCAGAAAATTTTAGTATTAAAAAAATCATTTTTAAGTCTGATAAAAGCAAACCACTTTATTACTGAATAGAGTCCGAATATTGATTCAGAAAGGATATATTCTACCTAATGTTAATGATAAAAAATAAGTGATGTTCATCTTGGGTGGAAATGCAGAACTAATGTAATTTGACAATATGCACATTCTCTTCCCGTTCACATGAAATTGATAATTATATTTCAACTATAGAATCTGTAATTAGGAATAACCACTAGACATTGGTGCACTCTTACTTTGGTTGCACTGCTTTCAAGGTGCACTCTTACTTTGTAAAGGTCAAATTTTAATAAAATATTCAGAAAAAAACAAAGCCGCCACAAATTTCAAAAAACCTCCAGTTTTTATTTTGCAAATGAGAAAATAAAACTGTAACACTCCAGAGGAAAAGTGTTAGCTCAGTATCTTTTTTTTTTTAAACAGATGTTTAGCATCTAGAAGAATCATCACATCTGATATAAGTTTCCATACAGACAGAACACTAGGGTCTAATCTATCTCAAAGGGGAAAAATACATTTTGTCAAGACTATTAATATGAGGGCTTAAAATCTAAATCTAAATCATACTTTTCTTCAGGGGCATGGATGCAGCTTAATACAAAAAAAGTTGACAATAAATTACTATTACACAGTAGTTTCATGAAGACTGAAAACAGAAAAGCAATTAATAAGCTGAATTCATTTTTTGGTTTTATCCAAAATTTGTTGTGATCTCTACCGACTTCAGTGGTTTTTTTTAATGGAAGCTTTCACTCAAAGAATTGAAATCTCATGACCAATTAATCTTTTTCAATGCTCATTTGCTTTTCAACAAATCAATTAAGTACTTTAGTGATATGTACATTAGAAGATCCACATGTAGCAGACAAAAAATTTACAGCTTTTTACCAGGAATTTCTACCGCAAGAGACAATATTATGCTAGCACACAACTAACAGAGGTCTTACTGAAACCATCCTGTGTTTTTCCCATACAGAAATATATCATAATAAAAAACTATTTCAGCATATTTCTATATTGCAGCAATTAAAGCAAACTTACATGGAATTAGTCTTCTTAAACATTCCTGAAAAACTTAATAAACCAACCTAAATAAAGCAGCACAGAGATAAATGATAAAGCAGCTGGCATACGAATACATTATGATGTAGGAAGAGCAGTATTATTAGAGGTTGTTTTGGTTTAATATATTCAGTTTATTAAACTATAGAAGAAAGCTATAACATGATTAACACACTGAATCTTCAGAAAGTCCTAGGAAATATTTACAAGTATTCACAGAATTAGTTGCAAGGCAACAGAAAGTCCTCAGAAATTTAATTACCATGCGTCTGGCATCTTGCACTCAAATATATTTATTGCAGAACAGAATAGAATAGAACATTTTCAGCTGGAAGGGACTTACAACAATCATCTAGTCCAACTAAGAGGTGATCAAAAGTTAAAGCATATTATGAAGGGCATTGACCAAATGTCTCTTAAACACTGACAGGCCTGGGGCATTGACCACCTCTCTAGGAAGCCAGGTCATGTTTGACTACCCTCCCGGCAAATAAATGTTTCCTAATGTCTGCCACAGCTTTGAGCCATTCCCACACATCCTATCACTGGGTCCCAGGGAGAAAAGCTCAGCACCTCCCTCTCCACTTCCCCTCCTCAGGAAGCTGTAGAGAGCAGCGACGTTGCCTCTCAGCCTCCTTTTTTCCAAACTAGGCAAACCCAAAGTCCTTAGGTGTTCCTCATAGGACATGCCTTGCAGCCCTTCCACCAGCTTTGTTGCCTTCCTCTGGATGGGCAACAAGTTCAAGAATCCCCACATTCTTCTTAAAGAAGGGGCCCAGAACTGCACACAGTACTCAAGGTGTGGCCACACCAACGCTGAATAAAGCAGGACAATCACCTCTTTTGACCAGCTGGTCATGCTGTGTTTGATGCACCCCAGGGTGCGGGTTGTCCTCTTGGCTGCGAGGGCACATGACTGACTCCTGCTGAGCCTGCTGCCGACCAGCACCTCAGATCCCTTTCTGCAGGGCTGCTCTCCAGCCACTCCTCTCCCAGTTTATACTTGTGTCTGGTGTTACTCTGACCCAGGTGCAGAATCCAGCATTTGCTCCTGTTAAATTTCATGGCATTGATAGCTCTTAACCCCCTGACTTACAGAGGCTGTCCAGTTTTGCATGGAACAATAAAGATTAAAAAAAAATAAATAAAAAGCTGAACAGAACAATGAATAAATTAATTTGCAATTGCTAGCTATAAGCCTACTACTGAAGACTACCATATTAAATTTATTATTTCACATCTTGGTCCCTAATATCACATAAGAATCTAGCACAACTCAATTTCATACTTTTGCTTACCCATAAACTAAGAACTTTTTCACAATTTGAAAGAAAGTGTTTATCAGTGTATTTGGATCAGGAAAGTTTTAATACAAATACAATTTACACATGGAAAAAGTGTAATAGTTTAAAGCTGCAATTACGAAAACTAAATATGCTAATATCAGCAAAATAGCACTTGTTAATTTCAATCTACATGAGTACCTTTAAAAAGGTAAAATTTAAACAAGAGAAAAAGTAGTCTTCAATGTCATTATGCTAGTCTTGACTTGAGTGTTCAGGATGCCAGCTACTTTCATTTTCTGCCAGCACGTGATAGCAACAGAGGGTACACACTGTTAAGCTGCATGCCTTTTGATTGGCTCACTCATGTTTGTCCTCAAAGGCGTGCAAACTTGACACCTCACTCCCCAGCACCCCACCCCAAGATTTATCATCATCATCATCCAGTTGTCTGTTTTTTCATTTTTTTCCCCCCACTTCATTAATGTAAGCTTTCTTGAGTCAACAGAGGACTCCAAGAATCATCTCCAAATGTCAACACAATACATTGCTATGCAAAAAATCCTGAAGCATTTCATGAACTGATTTGCAACTATTCCTGCCTACACTTTCCAGTCCAATCTCCTTCTTGAAGCTCTATCAGCATCTTGCACTAGAGAAAGGTAACTATGCTATGTCTTAGCATAGTTACGACACAGTTGTAAAGACATAGGCAAGAAGTTTCAGGACGAAGTCAGAACAGAAGATAACAAATTAACATTACTCAAAAAGTAACTCAATTAAATAAAAGCACTTTATAATTTGATCATGACAAGAATCACAAATCAACTTTGAAAACATGAAATCATTAGTACCAAGACTGTATGAGCACAGCTTACATGTATCTGCAAGGCTGTTGAGTTTCTGACATATGAAACAAAAAAGACTTTTCAGTCACCCTCCAGTGTTTAAGAGGAAACGTGTCCTTAAAAAAATTTCTAGCCTCTCATGAAATCTCTTTTAATGAAAAGGCAGATCAAGTGAATCTCTGGAATACTACCCCTTGTCAGATTAATTCATTTTTGAGGGCAGTTTGCATATCTGATTTACTTTACAGTGGGTCACAATTAATTTCACTGAGTCAAAAATTCAAACATCACTGCTGCTTCTTGCAACCTAAGAAACTTGAGTAATTTATTAATTTTATGGCAGAATTAAATAAAACCATTAAATTTCAGATAGCATTATACAGCTTTTCAGAAAATAGAAGTAATCTCTTTGCAACAAAATTAGTGGAACTTCAGTTCTTGGATTTTTAAAATGTACACCTGAGTTAGTAAAAAGCTTATGTAATTTTTATTACAGTTAGCTTTAATTCTCAATTAACTCATTCCTGGAAAAAGACACAATTAAGTAACCCTTTTCATACCTAAGGAAGTAAAAAAAAAAAATCATAAACTGAAAGAGGATGTATTAGTTCTTAATGACATCCATGCTCCACAGAACATGTGATGCCGCAATGTTAAAAGTTCTTCTTAAAAACAATAAAAATTAAGGGACATGTAGCCATGAGTTCTCATCAGTGCTTTGGAGAAGTTAAAGCATGGTATATGTGTTTAACTGGTAAGACACAGGCACACAATAATGACAATACTAGAAAAAAACCAAAGCTAAAGTTTTAACTTACATTTTAGTAAGAAAGCTTATTTGTAGACTCAACAATAAAAAAAAATTCCCTTATTTTAAAGTATAGAATATACAAATTAATTTTTAATTTAGAAATCTTGCATCATCATTCTATGATGTCAAAACTAAACAGACAAACATACAAGTTAATATTTTACAGATGTTTCTCATAAAACTTCAGTGCTAATTTCACCAAAAAGAAGTATCTTTTCAATACGATGAATGAGTCATTGGCCAAGACTGTGAAAGAAAACTTGAGAAACATGATGTGTCTCCAGTAAGGCTATCTCAAATTTAAAACTAAAAGCAGCCTAAGATTGGTTTTTCATTTTTTTTTAATTTGGCATAGTATAAACTAGAATAAGAAAAAAAGCCACCTGGAACATTGAAACATTCAATTGATGAATTTGTTGAAGCATTCATTCTGATTCAGAAGATAAACAGAAGATGAGCCCCTTGTTCCCCAAAAATATTCTCTGAAATAAAGTCATTCAGGTAGAAGCAGAGACACCGATATTAAGAAGGTACAACAGTGTATTTACTTTTCCAATGGCATACTTTAACTTGTAAAAGATCTCTGCTCAATGGACCATGAGAATTGTTTAATATTTATCACATTTAATTTCATAAGCATAGCTAAAAATTCAAATGATTGCACCTTTCACCAAAAGCAGGATCTACCATGAAACATGAGGTATTTCTAAAATTGTAGTTAGATTTATTCTGTATTAGGCTTACACAATGCAAGGTTCATTTCTAATTTGTACATATCAAATCTGACACCCTGATAACTAAGAGG